CCTTCTCTAAAGAATCCTTATACCATTATCTGGACTCCTCCTATTTCAATACATTTTTATTTGTTTCTTACATTCTCTGGGATTTTAAATAACTTTTGTTTTACCCATTCTTTTGTAATTATAGGAATCCTTATTTTTCCTATAGTATTTTCTATATTTATAGACATTTCTTTATAATTCATACTTACAATTGTTTTATTTACTCTTGGTAATATTCCTAAGAATTATTGATAGAATACATCTTTTTCTTATAGATCTAATATTTTCTTAGTGATTCCTGTATATTTTTTAATATCAAAGGTAATTTCTTAATTTATACCTTCTATAGAGTTTTCAACTTCTTCAGTTGTTTCTATTTCTATTTCTGATTGTTATATCTCCTTATTCATATATACTATCTCCTCATAATCTTCCTCTGATGAGGATGTATTTAATTCATAAATACTACTGCATTCACTACTTAGATCTCAAAAATATTCAATTGGTTCTATATCACTATCATCTTAAAATTTTTCATAAATTCTAAGAGTTTTTATATTTTGTCTATCTTTCTTTTTAGGACATTAAGGGGCAATGTGTCCTTCTTTATTACAAATAAAACATCTACATTTTTTAATATTTATTGGTTTAGGCTTTTTATTCCAATTTCTTTTCTTGAAATATTTTTTTTGTGGTTAAAAACTCCTCTTCTTAAATTTTTTTTAGTTTTTGAATTTTCTTTTATATTTCTTATATGGTTTGTGTTTTTTCTTATGACATCCAAATTGTTCAACTTGGCCTATATCTTTATAACAACATAATGAATTCTTTCTTATTTTATATGCTTTTTTACTCTCAAGAGCTTCTCTACACCATATGCCTATCATTCTTTTTGTAAATTCAATTCTACTTCCCAAACTATCTATTTTTACTCCTTCCTCTTCTCCTAAAGGTAATAATTTTTCATATTCTTTTAATAACTTAATTCCCCATGGGAATGGCAACTTAGTAAAATAAGACCTTAACATAGGTTTTTTTTTTTATAATCTCCTTGGTTTAATATATAGTATAATTTTTCAAGTTTACATGTGCATCCTTCTAATTCACACATATGACATATCTTTAAATTTTCCATTGCTATCATTCCTTCATTATATTCATCTTGTTTTCTTTCTTCTTCATTAGAAGCATGTCTATCTCCTAAAAATTTTGTTCTTAAGATTTTTTCAAACCTTTTTAATATCTCTTGTATATTTTGATCATTTAAAGTGTTCATATTATCTAATACTACGGTTCTATTATCTTCATACTTTATTCTTCCTTTTATAGATTCTGGTAACTTTCTCCACCATTTAGAAACAATTCCTCTGAACGTATGTTCTATAAATCCAAAAGTTGTATATGTTTTCCATTTATTAAATTGTATTGTCAAATCTGTACTTTTTATCCAAGTTTCTATAACTTTATTTTTATCTACACACTCTAGGTCTAACCATACTCCTGTTGTATGAATTGGTTCATTATAGGATTTTATTGGATTTATTTCTTTTATGGATTGTTTTCTTATATTTTCAGTGTATCTTTTCTGTGTTTTCCTATATTGATTAATACCATCCTTAAGTGGTATTGTAGTACCATAAGGATAATCATATTTTTCATCATTACTAAATTCTATTTTTATATTTCGACTTGACGATGGATTAGTATTCATTTTAGTATTTTTCATTTTTTCAGTTAATTCTTCTAACTGTTTTTTATATTCATCATATTCTTCACCAGTAGATTCTAAAAATTTTTGTTCTAGTTTTTCTACATCTGTAATTATATATTGATTTTTTCATGTTTTTTCCCTTTATTATTTTCTTTTTGAGTTATTCTAAAATTTTGAGGTGGATTAATTATAATCCTATCTTTTCCTTTAAGATTTTTATCTAAAAGAGCATTTCCTACCTGTAGATTATGTTCTAAATTTTCTAATCTTTTATGTATATCCTCAAAACTTTCATTTGTGGTGTTTTTAGGTAAATAGGGATAACTAGGTTTTTTATGTTTTTCTTCTTTTTTCAAAAATTCTTCAATTATATTTTCTTCATCTACTATGTTTATCATAATTTTAGGCTCATAACTTGGCTTTGATACCATTTATTCGGAGTGTGTAGTGGAGGGGTTAAGATTTTTGAGCCAATTAAAATTTTCATAAGTATTTAAAATATCATAATAAAATTTATAAAATTCACTATCTTTTGTTAAGACTTTTTTTTTAATAATTATATTTAATTTTTTAATTCTTCTTTCCTGGTTAAGAATTATTTTATGTATATCATTTTTGGTTTTAATTGCTCCTTTATCTATATAAGCATTTTTATGTTTTAATTTTGGATCTAAATATTCAGTAAAGAAACTTTTCAGATCTTCTTTTAAATAGTTTAATTCATTATCTGTTGCATTTCTTAGATCAATAAAATTTTGTATAATATTTGGGTTTAAATTTATTAAAGATTCATGATCTATATTTTGTTGGGGGACCTAATTGGAGGTTTCTGTACATTGTAGTGGCTTTAATTGCAAATTTTCTATGAAGGATATTTTGGAAAGGATAATTTTTTAAAGGCTATTTTTCAAATAATTATATTTTCAAGTCTATTCTCAAGATTTACTCTTATATTAAAACTATATGTAGGTATTTTCTCGTGGAATGCACCCAAGAGAAAGTGCGGCTGAGTACGGAGGAAAACTTAGATATATTCAATCAAGAAGAATCTGAGGAGAGAGAGAGGAAAGTGGTGAGGAGAGAGTTTGCTGTACAGAGAATTTTCACTGATGAATGAGTAAAAATTTACCATTTTGAAATCACTTTTACAGTTTTACTATTTAAAAATTAAGTAATTTACATATTTTAACTAATAAAATAATATTTTTATTTTAAAATTACTTGTTTGCTAATAGGGTGGCTATCATTGACACGATGACAGTAAAATATATTTAATTATTTATTCTATTTATTTTTCAGTTCTAAAAGTGACTCTTGAAAGATCGTTAAAAACCTTCACTTCTTGTTATTTTTCAAAATAAAAAACATCAAATTTAAAAGCCCATGAAAAAGGCGAGTTTCTTGATTTCCTCAAAATGGTGGCAATTATGTCAAGTAATTTGAATGGGTAGTCGGCTTGATTCATCCCACATACAAGTTGAGTTGACTTTCTTGCGAGTTACTCGTCAACTTGCATCGATTATTTCAAGAGCTGGAAAAAATTATTAATAAGAAATTAAAAGCCAAGTCAAGCTTTTCCTTAGAGCGAGCCAGCTAGTGCTGAGCTCGTCCCATTTATAGACACGAGATGGTACCCGTTGCCAAGCTCAACTCTGCCCATTAACATCAAATCTTATAGGTTTCCATATTGTTCGCACGGGCATTTATAAAAAATGTAGTAAATAATTATTATAATATTAATGTTTGCATAAATATTAACTTATCAATCTGAAACAGGTGATATATAAAACAAGTTGAGTCTTCTTCCCAAACGTTTTTGGAGTTTTCAAGAAACTTAGAAATGGTAGGGATAAAAGAGCAAGACATGTTATAAAATTGGAGCCCCAAAATAGCTTCGAAATGTGTACACTCTTCATTTGTGGACCATATTAGTAAATCTTTCTTAGCCTTGTATTTGCTATGTATTGATAGTAGAAAACGAAGACAACATTAGATCGAATAGAGCTAATTATAATAAATGAATGACATGGTTGCATTAAGTATTCCATACATGTAATTTTTCCTAGAAGATTTAATCCTTCCATTATAGATCGTCATGGCATGATACCTAACTTTTTGTCGATTAAAAATCTTTTTCAAGTTTAGTTCTTTTGAAGGCGAACAAACATGTAGTGCACTTGATACTTGATTGTATGTCTGTATTCTAAATCTATTTTTAAAGTAATATTTAATGAGGTATATGAAGAGCTTGTATTTAGTTTTGCGTTATAGTGAAAATATGTAATGGTAAATAGACATAATTTTTACATCGAGGACAAATCACTATAACTCTGTGTATGTTTTACTTGTTTTTTTAGTGATTTTATGTTTATTACTGCTCTCGAAAATAAGAATAATGACTTAACCCTTGTTTGAGTCACATTATTTCCATAAGAATGCATTTTTAAATAGTGTATTGATGAGATATATGTGATTAAAAAATAAGAAAAATTTTGAATTTGTATGTAATATTATTTTATTGCAGAATATTTGGTTGAAATGATGTCAAATTACTGTTTAAGAATATATTTTTTTGAAAGAATGTGAGTCAAAAGACTCAAAATGGTGCCTTAATCTAAAACTCGAGTTTGTGGCTGGTGACCGTTCATTTGCAAATTTGACGTCGAGAAGCATAGTGCAAGTCAGGGTGATTGATACATATTACTGGTACGTATGTATGATTAAGTGAATTAGACATCATTGGACTGTTAAGAAACAAAAAGAAGTTAAATCTTGTTCATTGTACTCTTCAATCATATTGAGTAGAGCATACCAAACATGCCTCAAGCATAAAACAGAGCTTCGGGGGCAAGAGAGATGGTTACTGAAGAACTCGGAATAGCAGTAAAAGTTTCTGTTGACATTAACAAACATCTGTTATGTCATCGCTACAAATTATCAGGTTCTCTTGATTTTAAGAATTTAGAGGAAATGTGTTCCAGCAAAATGAACCAAAGGCGTCATTTATTTGGGTGCATTTTTTACCCAGGTGGGTAATTTAACGTCATCAAGATACCATATCGAATTTCTTTCAAGTGGAAATAACTGATTTCACTTCCCATGATGGATAGATAACGCTTTAAATGGATGATCAGAACATGGGTTTTGATTAGCTACGCCCAATGGAAAATGGAAATGCCCGATTAGGCCTGTACAGGCCCCATTTTTCAAAATTTTTGTGCTCTTCACAAGTTTTTAGTATGGGAAATGGCCTGTATATTCAAAAAGAGCCAGCACAAACCAGACCCAAAGGGACCAGGCCCGAACCACCTGCCTCAAACAACAAACATTTAACAAGCAAGAGAAATAGATCAAGTTATATACACTCCGTTGTCGTTGATGCAACACAGAGCGCTATGATACCAAATCTGGGCAGCTCAGATTACATAAACACATACCAAACAAATCAGATGGGAAAAAACACTAGAGTGTCAACGACAAATTTCCGCTAGGAATGTATGCAGAACACATCACTGGGTATATCTATGAGATTCGGACTGTAAATGTGAAAGAAGAAAGCAAACGACAGCAACAACCATCAAACTCGTACTGAATATGTGCTCTTTTATGGAGAATCTTCAGCTGACTTGGGATCCTCTTTTGTCTTCAGAGAAGTGGAAGGAGATGGAGAGCCTTCTTGACCCATCTCGGCTCTAAGATCATTGATGCTTTGTTCCAACTCATCGATCCGACTCCCCATCTCATCAAGTGCAATACGGTTAAGAAATCAAGAACTCCATAGACATCAACCAATTGAGAATGACACATCAGATTAAACTTGGAAAGTACACGAACCATGGTCATGGACGTGAATTTCGTCTGAATCGGGGGGGGGGGGGGGGGGGGGGGG